TAGGTAATTATTGTTTTATATATTTACTATTGTATTGGATTGTTGTATGCCATCCAGAGTCACTTTCCATGAAATGGGCGACCATATAAATTTGATCAATCAATAAATAATGATACTGTATAGTTAAACTCAAATCTTGTCTCTCTTTAGGTATTGTTGCTATTTCAGTCTCTCTCTTTCCAACTCTCTGGCATCTTTCCTTTCCATAAGATAGAGTTCATTGTATTTTGCAAAGATATAAAAGTTCATCCTCAAAACATTTATAATAAGAATCTATAATAAGAATAAGAATCCATCAGGTCCAGGCACCTTACCTAGTTAGATCTTTTTTATAGCTTCACACAAACTCCCCTTATTGTTACAAGTTCATTCATAATCTGTTTCTGCTCTGTAATCCTCAGTAAATTTTGTTTCTTTAGGTATTCATCTATTTTCTCCAGAGAGATGTCACAAATAAAAGCTATTATAAATAGGACAATTCTGTCATTTACTTTGTGTTCAAAATGCAAAAGTATTTGCAAGTTTAAACTGAGTATTTTTTTATTTTGTGTTTTATCACCTTTTATATTTTTACTGAGAGTTGATAGCTGTTTTCGAATGTAATAAGCAAAAAGAGACATGCCATCTGCATCATTATAGAGGTTTGGTCATACGTGCAAACTATTGCTGGTGCCAGCATTACACAGCCCAGATCAATTTGTCTGCAGATGCTGTTGAATCAGGATTAGGTTTTAAATGTGCCAAACTTCTGCTCTTGTAAAGCCTAATTTCTGATTAAATAAGCTTTTGCTAATCATTATTTTATCATATATCCTGCAGTTTCACTTAGAAAATTAACATTTTAGTTTACACAAATAATTTTAAGCTTCTATTTCTTGCTATCATATCCAATACATCTGTAAGTGTTTTGAGAGCAATTCAAACCATTCCTTGATCCTATTATTTTTTTATCCTATGAATGTTCTAAAAATGCTTTGCAGAACTATTCTGATTAACATTTTTATGAAAGATCTGTCTACACATGCTCATCTTTATACACAACTGGAATTTATACTCTAAGTAACATAATCATTGCTTTTTGGTGTTTTGATTTTTAATGTTTTGAAACAAAATTTCCCACAAGATTGCATAATAGAGGAATCTTGGAGCACACCCACTTTTCTGGAGCATACAGGGTAGGCAGAAACAAGTGGAGACAAGCAGTCCATCAGATGTCCAAAAGGTTATCATATAGGGCTATTCTTTATAGGTAATAATCCGCTCCTGGAATTACATTTAGACACTGATTGGCAAAGTGCATAGCTAAATGTCTATGGAGATTCTTAGTCATCCAGGTCATGGTTGTCCCGAAGATGTAAAAGAATGCAAATGACCAGGTGTCTGCAAGGAATATACGTAAATCCTTCCATTCCCCACCATCTAGTCAGAGCTTTTGTAGGTTTTTTTCATCTCATCCCTGAACCTTCCATTGTTTACGAATAAATGTATGCTTTATTCCAGTGGTGGCGAACCTATGGCATGCGTGCCAGAGGTGGCACTCAGAACCCTCTCTGTGGGCACGCGCGCCATGCCCCGGAGATGGCAACTGTCCTCTTCAACCAGCCGCCCGCTAACTTGCCGAGGTCCCATATAGCCAGATGCATCCCAGCACCCATGCGCTCGCTGGTCTCTGTGTGCAGGGGCCAATGGTGTCAGGCAGAAGCCGCCCCGGCCCCTGCCTTGCCTTGCCCTGCAACAATGGCACCCCCGCCCTGCCCTGCCTCGCCTCACCTCACCCCGCAGGACGAGCCTCCTGCCCACCACCCCACCCACCAAAGACCCCCTGGATCTCCCCAACCTTGCCCGGCCCCCAAAGGCATCCCTCCCCAGGAGCAACATCAAGCTGGCCATGCCCACCCATCTGCCATGACCACTGTAGCCACGCCCACCCAGCGGGCCACGCCCACCCGGCACCCAGCGATACATAAGTGGTTTTGGGTTGCAGTTTGGGCACTCGGTCTCTAAAAGGTTCGCCATCACTGCTTTATTCTTTTACTATACTCCTCCATGGCCAACAAAATACCACGAGATCAGAACCGTAGAAGCAAAAATAGATACCTCTTGATATCTCTTCTGTTATCTCTTTTGACTAATTCCTTGGGTCATTCAGAACCCCATGTTCTGTGACATTTTCTTGCCAGAGAAAACAACAAGAGGAGTAGCTTGGGCTCCAGCCAAGAAGTAAGATCCTTTTCCTTTCTCTTCATTATATAAATATGTGTTTTAACAAGATGCTGAGGTTACTATTAGTTCCCAATACCTCCTTTGCCCAAAGGGTTTAATAATTCATTCAGTAAACTCAGCATGACTCTAAAGTTAATATAATTCTACATTTATAATAAGACTATCATACATATATTCAATGGAAGGTTGGATCATTCTTTCATATCTAGTAGTACTTACAAAGCTTAGCAATTGGGGGAACAATTATTTAAAGATGAAACAAATATTCTTTTTCTGCTAGTTGTTTTTCGGTTGCCTCATCAACATTTATATTCTTACAAAATATGCTACATTGGCTTTATATGTAACTGCTCCTTAGGTACTCTACCTTCCACTGGAAATTACATGCAATCCCAGGAAGATTAAATTTATAGAATATATTTTACTGTCAACAAATAATTTCATATTTTCAAGCTTGGTGCTAACTTTAACTTGGAAACTATGAAGTTTATAAAGTTTATAATTCTGCAGATAAATTTCTTCTGCATCCAAAGTTTGGGTTCCAACATTTTTAAACACTAGATTTTGTCTGATTGAGCATAAAATGAAAGATGAACTGCTTCAGATTCATTGGAAATTGTTAAAATCTTATTTTGAAATTTTATTATTTCAACTGTTTTTGTCGATCTCTAATCTTATTCTAATAATAGTTCTTAGAATTCTAAACTGTTGTATGACTGTTGCAATCTAATATTCCATCTATAGTGGAACTTTTTAATATTTTGTAAATACTTCATAGAATTGTTATTTGTACATTTTTAATGTATTCTTTTTCCCTGCCTCGTTGTCTTTTTTCTATTTTAACTCTTCAAGTATATTTAAAAATAAACAAAAATGGATGCAGATACAGTATATATGTCTCATGAAAATGAATTCCTTTCCATGTCCCTAAGCCTCTAAGTAGGACTGGCGGATTGCATTTTAACATGGCCATCTGGCAGTGCCTTTAGAAGTTAGCACACTGTCCAACAGCTAATATACATCTCCAAAAAGCCACAAAACACTAGCATTTATTATGAATATATAAATAAATAGTTGACAAACAAAGCAGGTAGATATCCAAAGTGCTTTTTAGATGTACATATAAAAAGACCAAAGGGAAAAGATCAAATGTTGATACTCTTCCATGCAGAATAAGTACAAAATATTTTTCTATGACATCTTATAAAATAATATTTTATTTCTGGATTCTATGGCTTTTTTCTCTATAAATACAGATTTGTGTTCAATTATGCATAGCGTGTCATATAACATAAGTTGGAGTTATTGCATATTGTTTCCCCAATACAGTTTTGTAGTAAAAAGCAGAGGATCATACTTTATGCTGAAAACATTGGTAAAAAGTATTAATTTCCTTAGTTTTTAAAAATAATATGTAATGAAATCGTGTAAC